TTTTGTTTCAGTTCTTCTAACTTCTTTTCGTTATTTTTATTTTTCGCTTTATTTTGTCAAATACCAATATCTTTTTGAATTTTAGGAGCTTCTTTTAACAACATATTTTTGTGTTCTTCTTTCACAGATTCATTGATCAAAGGAGCAACTATATTATCTAAATCCTCATAATTGTTTAACAAACTTTGCTCTATTTTTGAGTTTCAATTTTTGTATGTTTGTTTTAATTGCTCTTTTTTTTCATTTAATTTATTCATCTTATCGCGCAAATTAACAATATCTTTTCGAATTTGAGCCGCCGCTTTTAAAAATCTAATCTTTTTAGATCGAATATCATCTGATATTTGTTTATTTTGTCAAAGTTTATTAATTTTATTTGTGTAATTATCTACTTTTTCTTTAAATCCAAATTGTTCTTTCGAAGCTATAGAATTTCTAATTTTATAACTAGTTTTGTAAGAAATAATTGGAAACTTGCAATATATGTTTGCATTTTGTTGATTATGTGCATTTTTTTCATTTCATTCTTCTCGATTTAATACACATTTATAAATTGGTTCAAAATATTTTTTGTCTTTTTTTTCTCTTTCTTCGATAACAATTTTTACCGGTATTCGTTCTTCAATATTGTTTTTTAAATCTTTTAAAAAGAAAGGTGCCAGTTCTTCCTTATTGCAAATAAATCTATGTAAAAGCTCGTAATGTTTAGTTGTTTTAAATTTTTTTCTATCTATCTCTCATTGTTTCAGTATCTTATTTTTAAAATTATCTTTTTCGTTTTTGAAGTTTTCATACCTACGACAGGTGATTCCGACTTGGTTTTTTATTTGATTTAATTTTTTATTAAAATCGTCTAATTTAACCATATCGGAAGCTAATTTAACATATTTTTGGCCTATTAACTGCACTAGAATCATTGCATCAACGGCATGATGAAAAGGAGTTATTTGGCGCACTTTTTGAGCTAATCCTCAGGCACTACCATTTAATCATTTTCTTCTCAGCACACTAACAATACGACCCGGAACTCGATTAACTTTTGTTGTTAAATTAAATCTTTTAAATTCAAATTCTATGTATCGAGCAAATCATTTCGCGATATAACGATTATCATTTAAATCACGACTTAAAAAATTTTCAAAATCCTCGGTATTAGTATTTTGACATGTTAAATAAAAATATTTACGAGATTTTTGCGGAATATTTTTCTTTAATTTTTTTAGGCGTTTCTTAAAAGCACATCATTGACCGATTTCTTTTAAATAATGAAAAGGAATTCTATTCTTTTTTTCTTGATTGGCTTTTTGTGTTACCAATACTTTATTTTCAAAACTATCATCTCCATGAATAGAAATAGGAACAATATGATCTATTTGCATATTTTTTAAGTTATCAATTGATATTAATTCACCCGAATAAATACATCGTTTATTTTGTTGCATTCAAAGTTTATATTTTAAAATATTTGTTTTGTTAGGTATTTGACCAGCATTTTTCAGTTTATTGATTATGCTGTTCTTTTCCTCTTCTAGCTTTTGCATTTTATTTTTTAATTTTTGTCTCTCATTAAAACTTAATGACAAATCCGTACCAATTTCGATGTTGATGTTTTGAAAAGTTTTATAATGGTAATGCAAGGCTTTAATTACTTTTCGAGCTTCATTTACAGCACGAAATACGATGGGATTTTTTTCCATATCCACATCCTTTAATTGTCGAAACAATTTATTTTTTTTTGGCTTTCGTTGATTATTAAGCTCAAAACCAAATTGCGGTTGCTTTTCTGTTTCTGATTGAGAAATACCATTTAAAAATTGATCAATTTTATCTTTCATTCAACTAAAAGATACTTTAGCTCTTGTATAAACCTCATTTGAAATCTTATTGTTGATTACATTTTCAAATAATTCATTTATTTGTGACGGAGTCAGTTCAAGCGAAACAAAAACAGCATTTATTTTATCTTTAACTCTTTTAGGAGTCATATTTTCGGCCAAAATTTTACCGATTAAATTATAAGGATTTTCGTCGTCGGCTAATTCATTTAACAATAATTTTTTATCGTTTCAATTGAATTTCGCATTTATATCAATTAGATTTAATTTATCAATTATTTTATTTTTATAATGAGCCGCGCCCAGATTAATTCCGCCTTGATTTTCCTTGCTTTCTTTTTTTGTTTCGGCTTTTTTTTCGTTGACATAATTGTCAAAAACATTTTTAATGGTATCTTTAATCTTTTCATTCTTCGATTCGGATAGCAATATCTTCAACAATTCTTTTGACTTTTTGTTATCTTTTTTAATTAAACATGTTTTCAAACATTGTAAATACGTGGAAGCAGAGAAATTAATTTTGTTATTCATGCGATTTAATTTATTAAAAATTTTATTTAGCTCTGTTACATAGTAATATGCGGTGAAAAGCAAACTGGATTTATAACCTCGTTTTTTTTCAGGATAATATGGGCAAGTACCTACCAAATCCACGAAAGACTTATATTTAGAGCATACATAGCGATTCGGACATTTTTTATTATTCTGACAATATCAACATCGCGGACCAACTTCAAAATCTCTTTGTTCAAAAATTCTTTTTATAATTAAATCTTTTAAACATTCATTTTTGTTGTTAATTTTGTTAACGATCAGTTTATTATTGATGTTTTTTCAAAAAAGTGATTGTGGTTGTAATTCAATTTGTTTATTCAGAATTTGTTTTAATTCATTTTCATACATTTCTCGTCGAAACAAGAATCGATATTTTTCGCCTTTTTCAGTGACATCATCAGCATTTAATTTGCCGTTTTTGACATACAACACAAAAGAATTCTTTTTTTTCGCGATTCTAAATTGTGGATCTTCCAAAAAGTATTGAGAAATAGTTTTATTTTGAACTAATAATTTGGCATCATCAATGGCTTGTTGATAACCATCTTTTTTGCTTTCTTTTTCTTCAAATTTATTTAAATATCCACGTTTTTTGGCATAATTAATGAGAATTTTTCAAAATTCTTTTATACTAATTTTTTCTTTTAAGGCTTTATATTTAATTAAATGTATATTTTCATAGCCCTTTTCGGTTGCAAAACCATCTTGCTTAATTAAAATTTTATTTGTTTGACAGACGGGATGAGAAGTTAAATCTAATTCGTTTTCACTTGCCCCGGCAATAATTAAATATTTTTTTAAGCTTTGAATTCTTTGTGCTGTTCGTTGAGTTAATCTACGTCTTGATCGAAACTCTCTTCTATGAGCCGCTTCTGATCTTTTATTGTCTCCCGAAGTAGGAAATAAATGAACGCCAAAGTCGTGCAAATGATACTGATGTTTCGCGGGGTTATTAAAATCCGTTTCGGACATAACAGCTCACCCCACCGAGGCAATGCCTAAATCTAAACCTAAATAGTATCGTGTATGAGGTTTAACAAATCGATTTTTTTTAACCATTATTTACATTATAAAACAAAAGACTCTATTTCACAATAAAAACATTACTTTTAGTGTTATAATTTAACTGTTATGAAATATAAAATTTTAAAGAATCCAGTTGGTATTGTGGAATTTGAATTAAATACCGGTGAACAAGTTGTAGGAGAAAAAGGATCTTTGGTCTACCTTCAAGGTGATATTGAAACCAAAACTCGTATGCGTAAAAGCGGCTTTTGAGGTTCATTAAAAGCAACTGTTTTAGGAGGTGAATCCTTTTTTGTCAACGAGTATACCGCCAATGAAGACGGAACCGTTTTAGCTCTGACCGGAAAAGCGATTGGCGATCTCGAAGTGATTGAAATTGAAGAAGAATTTATTATTCAAAGCGGAGCTTTTGTGTGCTCAACCGGTGACTTAACTCTAGATACTCAATGACAAGGATTTAAAAAAGGAATTTTTGGTACGAATCTATTTATGTTAAAAACTATCGGCACCGGAAAAATGTTTGTTAATAGTTGAGGGGGAATTATGAAAAAAACACTCGACGATGGAGAAAGCATACTTGTTGACAATTATCAATTAGTTGGCTTTAATTCTCTGGCCGAATACGATGTAATTCGACATGGTAGTTGAAAAACTACTTTTTTAGGTGGAGAAGCTTTAATTGTGGAAATTATTGGTCCTGCCACCGTTTATATTCAAACTAAAAATGTTCTTGAATTTGTGGGGGCGATTACTCCTTATTTACCAAAACCCGACCGACAATATTAATTAGTTAAATATTTTTTTTCGTTTGGAAAATTCTATTTTTTCCAAAGCATAACGAAGAGTGATTCGTGGCATTTGATTCGCATATTGATTTAAAAATTTTAATAAAAGATGCTGATTTTTTTTACCCGCTTCTCTTAACATTCATCCCGTGGCTTTTTGCATTAGATCATGTTTGTCATTCAGGCATTGATAAGCCATCGAAAAAATTTCTTTTAAATCGTTTTTACGAATAAATCATCAATTTGTGACCATCGCAATTCGCCGTATTCAAACATTTTCACTCTTTAATCAGTCATATAAAACACGACGATTTTGATTCATTAAATGACGGCCGACAATATACGGAGCTGAACTATCAACTAAATCTCAATTATTCACATATTGAAAATTATTGACATAAAAGTTATAAATTTGATTTTGTTTTCGTTGAGAAGACCGAACATACTGATTGCGTAAAATTAATAAAGCCAACATTCGAAATTCATGTCATTTCGAACGAATCAATATTTGAATCTCATCGAATGTTAAATGATGACCTTTTTGAGCAATTCGATGCAAATCCGGCATACGAATGCCTAAAAACTTGTCATGCTCGGCATATTCTCCTTTTTTTGTTTTAAAAAATTGTTTTTGCTTGACTGCGATTTGAGCATTTTTTATTTTCAACAAACAATTTTGAATGTTTTGCACTGAATTGATTTTCATGAAATGTTTTATGAAAATAAAATCTTATGTCGCTTTGACATAGTTATTTTGCAAAAAGCAAAATATAATTGAAGTAAGTTAAATTTTTAATGGTGGTTCAGGACAGAATTGAACTGCCGACACCTTGAGCTTCAGTCAAGTGCTCTACCACTGAGCTACTGAACCAAGAATGGCGGATCTGACGAGAATCGAACTCGCTGTCTTCTCCTGGACAGGGAGACATGTTACCAGTACACCACAGATCCAATCTATTAAGAATGAGTTTTTTAATGCCCATTCAACTTATCAATATTTTAACCCGATTTTAAAAGTTCTCGTTTTTCTATATAAAAAAAATAGCACATTCGAAAATGTGCTATTTCTGTCTTACTTACCTCTCAATCTTAACAAAAAAGGTAACCAAAAAATAGGCGAGTTACTAGGGATGCCTAACCCTCATGCTAGAAGCAATATCTTATTTGCTTCTGCCAATCTTATTTAACTCAATTATAAACTATTTTTAAAATTATAGAAAAAGATTTTTTAAAAATTTAATTTGGTTGTAGGGACTGGAATCGAACCAATGACCTTCAGGTTATGAGCCTGACGAGCTACCACTGCTCCACCCTACATTTGTTCTATATTATTTTTATCCTAAAATTGCTAAAAAGTAAATAATTTCCGTCTTTTTTTGTATAAATTTTATATGTTATACTCTTTTATGATAACTATCAAGAAAGGAATAAAATATGAATTTACAACTAAATGATTATAAAGAAACTTTTCCGAAAATACTGGAAAATATTGATAGATACGAAGCAATTATTATTTTGCGACAGATAAATCCCAGTGGTGATGATTTGGGAGCTCAATTTGCTTTAAAGGCTTTTATTAAAGAAAATTGATCCGGTAAGCAAGTTTATGCTCCGGGTGATTCATCACCGGTGAAAAGATTGAATTTTATGGGGACACCCGACAAAATTTCTGATTTACGTCTTTATGGTAGAGCATTTGTGATTATTTTAAATACTCCGAAAACGAGTCTCATAGCTGCTCCATGAGCATCCGTAAAAAACATAATTCCTTTTTCCGCTCGAATTGACAATCATCCGATTCAAGAGAAAATAACGAATATTGAATGTAATAATGACAATGCTCCGGCAACCAGCCAAATTTTAGGGGAGTTTTTTGCCTTTACTCAGAAAAAATTGTCATCTGTTGTTGCCGAAAGATTATATACCGGGTTATTAACTCGTTCTTATCGCATGAATTATGGGATTATTGATGAGAAAACATATCAATTAATTGATCAATGATGTCGAACTGGATTTTCGGTCGAACAAATCAATAAAAATTTATATAATTTATCGAGCCAAGAATTAAGTTTACGATCTTATTTGCTTCGCCAAATCAAAACTTCTCCTAAAAAAAATGTCGTTTACGGATATATTTCCAAAGATATTTTACAAAAGTATTCGGAATTTAATCCTGACACGGCGGCTTATTATTTAATTTATAGCTTTGTTCTTTCTCTTCAAGGTCGTATTTGACTCTTACTGGTGGAAGGCAAAGATTATGTTAAAGGAGAAATTCGTTCTTTGAATGAATATTCAGTCTATCAAACCGCGATAAAGTACGGTGGCCAAGGAACCGCCTGAGCGGCTTCTATAAAATTAACCTCCGCTAACGATATTCCCAAACTCATTACCGATTTGGACAATATCGTTTAGTTTTTTTTTTTTTTTCAGCGAATTATTGAATTTTTTGTCGATTAAATAGATCTATTTATTTTTTCTAAAAATTCTGTAAGATCATTTTACCGACTTATGGAAAGATCTTTTTGACCGATAAAATTAAAACCTTTTATTAAATGAGCCGGGGGTAAAACTCAGCTTTTAAGTCAATTAACAAAAATGACCCCCCCCTTCTCTATACAAAACCTATTACGAACCGTTTGTCGGTGGCGGAGCTCTTTTTTTACATTTATTACCCAAAAAAGCTGTCATTAGCGATGCAAATGCGAATTTAATTGCTGTTTGAAAATGCATACAGGAGTCACCTCAGCGATTGATTGAATCATTAAAAAAACTGGATACCGGTAAAATTGAATTGGAGTTATACAAAAAACGCCGCCGTCGATACAATGATTTACTGAAATTGAAAAAAAGCAAATAACTTCTTTTGAATTATTGGAAAAAAATGCTTTATTTATTTGACTTAACAAAACTTGTTTTAATGGACTATATCGAGTGAATTCAAAAGGTGAATTTAATGTGCCATGAAATAAAAGTTCTCGTTTTTATTATGATTATGAAAATTTATTTGCTATTAGCGAGTACTTAAATCAATCGGATATTTCCATTTGTTGCGGCGATTATGAAAAAGTTTTGCAAAAAGTGCAGGGTAGTGATTTTATTTATTTTGATCCCCCTTATGACTTGCAAAAAAAAGAAACTTTTCAAGCCTATACCGCAATCGGATTTGATAAAAAAGAGCAAAAAAAATTAGCGACTTTTTGCACAAAATTAGATTCAATGGGAACATATTGAATGTTGTGTAATCACAATACTCCTGATATTCAGTTATTCTATTCCGAATTCAATATTACCGAAATCGAAACTCGTCGTTCTATTAATGTCGAAGGTTCCAAAAGAAAAACCGGGCGCGAAGTAATTGTATTAAATTATGATTGAAAAAAGGAAAATCAACGAGAAATTATTGAAAATCCGGGTTGATATGTTGATTTTGATTTGATTATGAATCGAATGAAAGAATGAAAAAATTCTCTCAATAAAATTCAAAAATTAATCGCCGTGGTTTCTAATTCCATTGAATTTCGCGATTCTTTTTTACGATTAATAAAAAAAGATTTAACCGCGCAAGAATTATTTCATTTTTTAAAAACACTCGGAATGTTAATTTCTAAGCGATGAAAACATTCTCGAGAAATTCCTTTTCCAGAGTGACATTTTCAAAAACCTCTCAATGATTCGGCGGCAAAAGAAATTTTTGATTTTTTTGCACGGACCAATCTATTTAATCTCTTTATTAGTAAAAAATTACCCTCTCTATTTGATTATTTAGTCGGAGTTGAAGCCGGTATGGGCAGCAATACTCGCAAAAATCGAACCGGCAAAATGTTTGAAAAAATGATCCAAGATCTTTTGCACAAATATTTGCTTTATGACTTTTATGAACAAATTACTTTAAAAACCTTTTATGCCAAACTCAACAAGACGAAACAAACTAAATATTTTTTATTGAGAGATTCAAGCAAGACTTTTTCTGTTTTAAATAAAAAACTTTTAGATAAAAAATTTGATTTTTCTTTTGAATTAAATGAGGTTATTTATTTTGTTGAATGCAATTACTATAATACACAAGGTTCAAAAATATCCGAAACCGCTCGCGCTTATCTGAATTTAGCCAAAGAACTCAAAATTAATTTTCAAAAGGTTCGTTTTATTTGAATTACCGGAGGTCGCGGATGAAAAAAAGTTTCAAATTGACACACACAAATTCAAGATGAACTTGGCACCTTATTTATGAATAAAGATTCGTTTGAAAAATGATTAAGAAAAAATTTAAGTAAAAAAACGTCTGAATAGAATGGTACGCCCGGAAAGACTTGAACTCTCAACCTCTTGGGCCGAAACCAAACGCTCTATCCAATTGAGCTACGGGCGCTACCAAATAAACACACCTAGATTATATATTTTTTCTGTGTTTTTGTTAATTTTATTCTATAATTTGTATAACAAACTATGACAAATAAAAACTCTTCCGATTTTTCCCCTTCAAATTTAAATTCAACGTTAAATAACAAATATGAAATTGTTTATATTGTTGATCAAGATGTAAAAAATGTGGAAAATGTAAAAGAAAAAATTTTGAAAATGCTCGGCGGCAAGGTGACAAAAAAAGTTGATTTGGGGTTTCAAAAATTTGCTTATCCAATTAAGCGCAAAGAAAAAGGTTATTATTTTTTGTTGAATTTAGAAACCACCAAAGCTCAAATTTTAGATTTTCAAAAAAGAGTTCGCTTAATGAAAGAGATAGTTCGCTATTTAGTTATCAATTTAGACAAAGAAAAGCATTTTCGATATAGAAAAGTTGTAAAAAGTCCTTTCGAATCGTCGGTAGATTCCAAATTCAAAATGAATTCAGAATCCTCGACATCATCTCAATCAACCGAAAAAAATATTTTGTCTAAAACTCCTCCCGCGAAAGACATTTCTCCAAATCACTCAACGAAAAAAACATAAGTTTCATGAAAAATTTTCCACCATCGCTGCCACAGGCAATTTTGGTCAGTCTTTCATCAAATAAAAAAATAGGTAGTTCAATTGCTCAACGAGCCGGTCTTCGTTACATTGAATTAATTCGAAGAGAATTTGCGGATTCGGAGATGTTAATTACAACTCCTATTTCTTTTCAAAAAAAGAAAGTTTTTTTCTTTCATCAATTTACTGCTCCAATCGCGATTAGTGTTTTAGAATTTTTATTGTCTTTACAAACTATTTTTGCCTCTCATCCGCATTCAGTTTCTCTCATTCTGCCCTATTTACCTTTTGGGCGGCAAGACCAAATGTTTAATTCAACACAATCTATTAATTCTGGATTAATTCCAAAATTAGCAGTAGGTTTAGGACCAATTCATTCACTTCTCACTTTTGATTCTCACAATCCGCATTCTTGAAGTTTACCCAATACATCGGTAGCTAATTTATCCATTATGGGCATTCTTTTGCAAAATGCATTGCAAAATCGATTAGATAATTATGTTTTAGTGGCTCCGGATGCGGGGTGTTTTCGGCGTTTTCGTGCAATATTTGACTTGTTTTCGACTCAACCCGTCATTATTCACAAAATTCGTCCGACTCCAAATCAAAGTTCAATCGTTTCTATTTCCGGAGAGGTGAAAAATAAAAATGTAATTTTAATTGATGATATGATTGATACCGGTGGCACAATTTGCCAAACTGCGCAAGCGTTGAAACAAAAAGGTGCTCAAAAAGTCGTTCTTTTAGCAGTTCATGGATTGTTTAGCGGCTCCGCAATTTTCAATCTGCAAAAAAGCTTAGCTCGAAAAGAATTTGATGAAATTTGAATAAGCGACAGTTGTCCGCTTTCGAAAGATAAATTTTTTCATTCGTCTTTTGTTCATATTATTTCGCTCGCTCCCT